CACACGCCTCTCCCCCCACACGCCTCTCCCCCACACGCCTCTCCCCCCTCACGAATTAAGAGATTACAAAATATAAAGTAATTACGATTTCACATAATTACATAATTTATAAGCGAATTGTAAATAATATATATTATAATTCATTTCTGCTACGCAACATAACACTGGAGCAGTGTGTGACTTTACAGTGTATGACTTCATAAAGCTGTGACTTCACAGTGTATGACTTCATAAAGCTGTGACTTTACAGTGTATGACTTCATAAAGCTGTGACTTTACAGTGTATGACTTCATAAAGCTGTGACTTCACAGTGTATGACTTCATAAAGCTGTGACTTTACAGTGTATGACTTCATAAAGCTGTGACTTCACAGTGTATGACTTCATAAAGCTGTGACTTCACAGTGTATGACTTCACTAAGCTGTGACTTCACAGTGTATGACTTCACTAAGCTGTGACTTCACAGTGTATGACTTCACAAAGCTGTGACTTCACAAAGCTGTGACTTCACAGTGTATGACTTCACTAAGCTGTGACTTCACAGTGTATGACTTCACTAAGCTGTGACTTCACAGTGTATGACTTCACTAAGCTGTGACTTCACAGTGTATGACTTCACAAAGCTGTGACTTCACAGTGTATGACTTCATAAAGCTGTGACTTCACAGTGTATGACTTCACTAAGCTGTGACTTCACAGTGTATGACTTCACAAAGCTGTGACTTCACAGTGTATGACTTCACAAAGCTGTGACTTCACAGTGTATGACTTCACTAAGCTGTGACTTCACAGTGTATGACTTCACAAAGCTGTGACTTCACAGTGTATGACTTCACTAAGCTGTGACTTCACAGTGTATGACTTCACAGTGTATGACTTCACAAAGCTGTGACTTCACAGTGTATGACTTCACAAAGCTGTGACTTCACAGTGTATGACTTCACAAAGCTGTGACTTCACAGTGTATGACTTCACTAAGCTGTGACTTCACAGTGTATGACTTCACTAAGCTATCTCAGTTCATCGGTCTCACTAATCAAATAATGTAATTGGCATTGTTTTACTTCAATATTTACAATAAATTCTATTATTGTTCGTTGAACTTTTGTTTGTGTAAGGACGCGCGCGGGTGCGCTCTTCTCTATGATTACGGGATGTGATCTTTCACGAGGATTTTCAGCTATTTTTCTTTCGATATTCCATTATTTGCGAGTAGAAAAAGGTGTCTCCTAGTAGGAATAGTTTCATGTTTTGTAAATAAACAGAAAATTAGGATTTTGTAGTTCACTGCCGAGTGTGTGTGTGTGAGAGAGAGAGAGAGTGAGAGAGAGTGAGAGAGAGTGAGAGAGAGAGAGTGAGAGAGAGTGAGAGAGAGTGAGAGAGAGTGTGTGTTCAATAAAACCAAGGATGAGGTGTTAGTTAGATGAGGCTGTTTGGTGTTGAGAGAAAGGTAGAGTAGCTTGATGGAAATACCAGGAAGATGTGCTGAGTGCTGAAGGCGGTAAGCCGCAAGTTACTGGGGGAGCATACCAAGCCGATTTGGCCCTTGTTGAATGAATGGATATTAGTAAGCCGGTGAAGCTAGTGTATTTGGGTGACTTTGAGGGGTGGGGGATGGAGAGGAAGACCGAGGAGGAGGTGGATGGACATGTACTCGTCTAGTTGTTCTCACCTAGTTGTGCTTGCGGGGGTTGAGCTCTGGCTTCTAAGGCCCCCCCCTCATCCTTTCAGAGGTCAATCAATCGACTGATTTTTTTCTCCACGCGCGCACACACAGAGGACGCAGCCCGCAGCAGCTGTCTAACTCCCAGGTACCTATTTACTGCTAGGTGAACAGGTGCATCAGAGTGTAAGAAACTCTGCCCTTTTGTTTCCGCCTCCGCCGGGGATCGATCCCTGGACCCTAGGACTACGAATACCGAGAGTTGTCCACTCAGCCGTCAGGCCCTCCCCCCCCCCCCCCTCTGTGTGTGTGTGTGTGTGAGAGAGAGGGAGAGGGAGAGAGAGAGACAGAGAGAGAGAGAGGGAGAGATGGAGGGAGGGAGGTAAGTGTGGGAAGTGTAACAGGGAGGTAGGGTTACAGCTCTTGCTGGCAGTTTCACCACGTTCCTTATATGATTGTTAATTAGGTTGAAAGAAAATTATCATGAAATACATGAGTCTGTAGCAGCAGGCTTCAGAGGAGCTGCAGTAAGATAACAGCTCTTGCTTGCAATTTCACTAGGTGCTTAAGTCGACAACCCTTATGAACCCTGAGTCTTAGTGTACAAACAAAATCAACAGCTCAAGGTATGCGGTAAGGGTGGAGGCTGGCTGGAAATAGTTGGTAAGAAACAATGGAATGTATTTTTATATGTTATGTGCGATAATTCCCACGGAAGTCACCATACCCGGCTCCAGTAAGCTGTGGGTCGGTGCAGTCCATCACTACTAAGAGTGTGCTGCTCCTTGTTTGTTATTCATGCTCTATATGCAGGCGATGATACCTGATCAACCAGGCTGTGACTCATACGTCAGGCTGCGAGCAGCCGCGTCTAACAGCCTGGTTGATCAGTCCAGCAACCAGGAGGCCTGGTCGACGACCGGGCCGCGGGGACACTAAGCCCCGGAAGCACCTCAAGGTAACCTCAAGGTAGATGAGTCACAATAACGTGGCTAAAGTATGTTGACCAGACCACACACTAGAAGGTGAAGGGACGACGACGTTTCGGTCCGTCCTGGACCATTCTCAAGTCGATTGAGAATATCCATCAATAGCCATGCTCTATATTGTCGATATGATGAATAGGTACATCTTAGGTTTGTGCTTAGTGGGTCATATTATTCACATGTATCCTAGCTAATGCAGTGTATGTATGTAATGTGTGTGTACAGTTGTTGTGAAGATGAATGTTTTTAACACATCATGTGAATATTGATTGTGGCGGCTAGCTTATTGTGCACCCCATACTCATTCTGTGAGCGGTAGCGCAAAAAGGATTACAGAGGGCACAAAAGGTGTTTATCAGACCTAAATGGTGGTGATTACATTAACAATTTCATCTATCCTTCACACCTTTTAATTATAATGTCAGCCAGTTAGAGAATGTTCTATTTCAATAGCTATATATTGGTTAATCATTATACATTAATTGTAGGTCTTATCAATAGTACATAATTGTGTGAGCAATGGGGATATTACAGTCATAGGGGAGCTGCTGTTTGTTATTATTAGTCTTCACAACAGTAAACTTGCTTCTTGCTTCTTAATCTCCTATGTTGTTTATCCATAGCGAAATACGAATACAGTGCAATGATTTCAGGTATTTTATCCTTAGTAATAAGAAAGGTTGTCACTTCATACAACGTGGGTTTAGATTTATCTCTAAATGGCTCAGTTTTATTACAATCTAAGATATATGATGCTCTAGATATAATGCTCACACACTTTGTGCTTTACTTTATCTAGATCCCTATACGAGCCCAACTACCAGAGATACTTGTAGCCAAGTCTTATTCGAGCTGTGACAACGTCTGTTAGTCTGCTGATTTTGTTACTTGCCCCATACACCTGGTTTACTTCACACATTTCATTGTTATAAACAATGGACCTGCTAGTTTCAGTATGCACTGTTCTGCTTTCTTCAAATTCATCCAAAAGTTCTCGTCTAATGACATTTTAAAGGGACCTATTTGATAACTCAAGATTCCGTTCAACACTTATCTTTATCTACTGCAACCTTAGCAAGGGCGTCAACTTTATCATGTTCCTGCAGGCCAATGTGAGAAGGAATCCACAACCATTTTGATATTTACCCTCTTGCTAAGTATGCTTATATGTCTATGTCTGTCTGGCTTCTGAGACAAGCACGTTATTACTTTATTGCAAACTATTTATTGCTAGTAGTGAGGAAAGGGAGCCAGAAATAATTAAGCTGTCTACTTCAGTGTTGTCAAGAATTTCGAGTGCTACCAGTATTGGTACCAATTCAGCTTGCATTGTGAATGCCCAGTTATTAACTCTTATATTCCTTTGAATTGTGCTGCCATCGGGCTGATGAGCAATAACAGGACTTCCAGTCCTCCCTGTAGCTGTATTGAGTGATCCGTCAGTGTATATGGTCTGTGTGATATTGTTTTTAGTTTGTATATTGTGAATGTGTTCTAGGGTGCTTAATTTAGCAGCAAGCTGAGCATGAGGGTTGGTGTGATTAGTTTCTTGGTGGGGTATGCAGGGGTCAGGATGTCAAAAGGTACTATCTGCCAGGTTGGAAGGAAGTGCTGTACTCTTTCATCTTTACATACATCGTGCAGTCCCATCATATTAATGTGAGTCGCTGGTTTTTTAATCCATTTAGACTCGCCAGTTCTCCCTAGTGCTAGCTGGTAACATTTCAAAGCTGGAGACCTGGGCTCATTTTGTAATTAACTGATAGGCTTTCTGTAGCGGGTTTGGGTGTGAAACTTGTCTATTATTTTTACCAATAATTTTCTTTATGCCTTTCCAGGCATTGTCCAGGGGCGTATGCAGGTTAAGTCCACTAACAAAACCCTCCCATTCATTTCGTCTCAGTTCAGTCATTCTCTCCCTTGCCGCTACAAGCGCAGCCTGAAACAGTTTTAACATTTGAGGAGTTCTAAAGCTCTTATATGCTTTACCCGTCTGTGTAGCAATTGATTTAAGCTCTTTCAGTTTAGCATCATCATAGTACTGGTTGTGTCTGACCTGCTTGCCAGCACGTCTTTTTATTTGGTGTAACTCACTATTTTTGATGGCCTAATAGGTTTTATTCACGAGGTCGTCATAAAACTGTTGTACAGTCTCAGGCTCATAATTGTTATACCAATGTTCAATGTTGTCTACAAAGAATTTGTCTTGTCCTTTCCTTACTGTTAGCCTGCGTCTTCTCAGCTTAGTGCCAGGTAGGTCAACATGAGCCACGTGTATGTTAGCTGTTATGGCTAAATGGTCAGACATTAAGTCATCCATAATATCAGTCTTGTGCCTTGTGTATGACAGGTTAAAGCCACCAGTCATAGCAAGCTGAGTCAGACGTTCCCTCGACAGCCTGCGTCAGACGTTCCCTCGACAGCCTGCGTCAGACGTTCCCTCGACAGCCTGCGTCAGACGTTCCCTCGACAGCCTGCGTCAGACGTTCCCTCGACAGCCTGCGTCAGACGTTCCCTCGACAGCCTGCGTCAGACGTTCCCTCGACAGCCTGCGTCAGACGTTCCCTCGACAGCCTGCGTCAGACGTTCCCTCGACAGCCTGCGTCAGACGTTCCCTCGACAGCCTGCGTCAGACGTTCCCTCGACAGCCTGCGTCAGACGTTCCCTCGACAGCCTGCGTCAGACGTTCCCTCGACAGCCTGCGTCAGACGTTCCCTCGACAGCCTGCGTCAGACGTTCCCTCGACAGCCTGCGTCAGACGTTCCCTTCTATTGCTTCCCATCCCAGATCAAAATCCTTTCATTCACTCCACATTCGACATCAGATCTCCCCCTGTTAACTCTACAGATCAGGCGTCTCTTTGTTCTTTCCAAGGCTTGAGAATAAGTACATGTTACGTGAAGCCTGGGCAAGCTCCAGCTGCTGTACCCGGTGCAGCGAACGTAGTCTTCCCGTGTGGAGTTTGTTGTGGATCGGCGTCTGGAATTCTACCCGAATGTTTTGATATTTTTAACGCGAGAGTAGAGGGGAGGGAGTTTGTTTGTTCAGACTGTGTCATTCTTTGTATCATAGCCAAATGTTTACAAACATTAAGCCAGATGATTGGAGAGCGTGTGTGCGTGTGTGAATGTACTCGCCTAGTTGTACTCACCTGGTTGAGCTCTGGCTCTTTGGTCCCGCCTCTCAACTGTCAATCAACTGATGTACAGGTTCCTGAGCCTACTGGGGTCTATCATATCTACATTTGAAACTGTGTATGGAGTCAGCCTCCACCACCTCACTGCCTAGTGCATTCCATTTACTAACTACTCTGACACTGAAAAAGTTCTTTCTAACGTCCCTGTGGCTCATTTGGGTACTCAGCTTCCACCTGTGTCCCCTTGTGCGTGTACTACCTGTATTAAATAATCTATCCTTGTCTACCCTGTCAATTCCCCTGAAAATCTTGTATGTGGTGATCATGTCTTCCCGAGCTCTTCTGTCTTCCAGCGACTTGAGGTGCAGTTCCCTCAGTCTTGCCTCGTGACTCATGCCTCTTAGTTCTGGGACTAGCCTAGTGGCATGTGTGCGTGTGCGGGTGTGCGCGTGTGTACGCGCGCGTGTGTGTACTCGCCTATTTGTGTTTGCAGGATCGAGCATTGACTCTTGTATCCCGCTTTTCTAGCCATCGGTTGTTTACAGCAATGACTCCTGTCCCATTTCCCTATCATACCAGGTTTTAAAATTATGAATAGTATTTGCTTCCACAACCTGTTCCTTAAGTGCATTCCATTTTCCCACTACTCTCACGCTAAAAGAAAACTTCCTAACATCTCTGTGACTCATCTGAGTTTCAAGCTTCCATCCATGTCCCCTCGTTCTGTTACTATTCCGTGTGAACATTTCGTCTATGTCCACTCTGTCAATCCCTCTGAGTATCTTATACGTTCCTATCATGTCCCCCCTCTCCCTTCTTTCTAGTGTCGTAAGGCACAGTAGAAAGATGAAGGGAGAGGGGGGACATGATAGGAACGTATAAGATACTCAGAGGGATTGACAGAGTGGACATAGACGAAATGTTCACACGGAATAGTAACAGAACGAGGGGACATGGATGGAAGCTTGAAACTCAGATGAGTCACAGAGATGTTAGGAAGTTTTCTTTTAGCGTGAGAGTAGTGGGAAAATGGAATGCACTTAAGGAACAGGTTGTGGAAGCAAATACTATTCATAATTTTAAAACCAGGTATGATAGGGAAATGGGACAGGAGTCATTGCTGTAAACAACCGATGCTCGAAAGGCAGGATCCAAGAGTCAATGCTCGATCCTGCAGACACAACTAGGTGAGTACACACACACAAATGGAATACACTTAAGGAGCAGGTTGTGGAAGCAAATTCTATTCATAATTTTAAAACTAGATATGATAGGGAAATGGGACAGGAGTCGTGTGTGTGTCATGTCTATGTGTGTGTGTGTGTGTGTGTGTGTGTGTGTGTGTGTGTGTGTGTGTGTGTGTGTGTGTGTGTGTGTGTGTGTGTGTGTGTGTGTGTGTGTGTGTGTGTGTTATGTGGGTCATTGCACGAATGCGTAAGATTTCAAACCTGGCCCCGGGTCGGGGTTTGGGAGTAGAACTCCTAGAACCCCATCCAGGTACAATCCAGGTGTGTGAATCATGTGATTGTAACGGGTGACATTGTAGTCTCCTCTTTACCTGTGGGGAATGTTGTAGAGCTCCTCTTGCCGCAATTCAATTCATATGTCAGGATTCAGTAATTATATTAATAAATGTCTGTTTAGTACATATATAGTTTGGTTAGTTTACACAAGTTTACGGTGGTCACGTGTTTGACGTCTCGCTGTGTTCTTGTGGAGTGCGACATTTATAACAATATATGGCCGTTTGTCATGGTTATCTTGAGGTTATCTTGAGATGATTTCGGGATTTTAGTGTCCCCGCGGCCCGGTCCTCGACCAGGCCTCCACCCCCAGGAAGCAGCCCGTGACAGCTGACTAACACCCAGGTACCTATTTTATTGCTAGGTAACAGGGGCACAGGGTGAAAGAAACTCTGCCCATTGTTTCTCGCCGGCGCCTGGGATCGAATCCAGGACCACAGGATCACAAGTCCAGTGTGCTGTCCGCTCGGCCGACTGGCTCCATGGTGGGGAAGCCAATGTTGCATTTCCTAGTGTCCGGCTGATGATGTGACAGCACATGGATTTTTGTAACTAGCTTATCAAGATTGTAACTTGCTTAGCTAAATGAATTGTGAGGTTCAGTCCCTGAGCCCATTATGTGCTTCTGTAACCCTTTCCACTATGTTACGGACCCGAATCCAGCGTCCGAGCCTGGAGCAGTAACGACCACGCCATCTGTGGGTCAGCTCCCGAAACCCCCTCCAAATGGACGACGACACCTGGTGAGGACGAGGTGTACTGGCCACAAGGGCTAGTTTCCAGTCCTGATTAGCTCGTAACACAGCCGCTGCTGACCTCTGGTGAGGTGGAGCTTAGACAGCAACGCCATCTATGGAATGGATACGTCGGGCGTTTGTGTCTAAGCCTGTAAGTGAGGTGCTTTTGTGTGTCCCTGTTACTGATGACGTGTCTGATTACAGAGTCGACCTGGGACTGCTGTAATGGAAGTTGAGTCAGTCTACCCAAGGCAGCCGTCTCGTCACCAAGTGTTTGCTGCAGCAGCTGTGAGTCGCCCCCCGGATGAACACTGTGGTGTTACCCTGCCTGTGAAGCGGCAGTTGAAGGATTGTCATACCCGGGACTGACTGGTGGAGACGCTTAACCACTGGGGTGTTGTGGAAAGGAGAGTGATCTGTGGTATCACACGAGGCTCCTGACTAGGGCGTGACCCTAGTATCGCTCGTGGAGTGGCCTAACCAGCGTCGCTGATTTGGAACTTGCCAGCTATCTGCTGGACTTGTGGTTGACGGCCCCCACGACGGTGCCCCCAGTGGAACTGTGTTTTGGCTGGCCTGTGGCCGGGGTAGACTCAAGATTCTCGAAGGATTCGTCGTGAGGCCACGAGAGCACCAAGAGCTTGGCACCGTGAACGTCCAGGGTCTTCAGAGGAAGACTACATCGTGTATTATAGTGTTTATATCCCCCCCCCCCGTGTAATCGTTTATATCTTATTTATTGGTGACGGTGATAATTATATTATATTAAGTTTTTGACTTTATTTCCCTTCCCCTTTAATTTACTTGCGTTACGGATCACATCCCTTGAAAGCCACTACTGGCTTGGGGCCGGATACCCTTCCTCTAACAACATCAGAGTACGAACCCGGTTGCGACCCGAGAGGGCCGTAACACACTACCGCCCACAAGATGGGTATGTGGTGCATAATATATGAACTAAATTGACGACGGCTGGGTGTGTGAATTGCGCAGAGGCGAGCTTAAAGAAGTGCGCTTTCATGCGCCGAATATGCGTTGGACACATGTTTTGTGTGGCTGTAGCAGGAGAATCCTCCAGCTATGTGAACCCGCTGCTCACCGAGCTATGATGACTTGTATTATGCATGCAACGATCTCGATTCCCTTTTTCAATTTCTGCAACAGGGTGAACAGAGTTTTATCTATACATTGGCAGTGCTGCGTGTGTATGTATTTACTACTTGTATTTACTATTTGCATCTGCACAATCGAGCTACTAAGTCTTGGACCCGGCCATTGTAACCAATTTATTTTTCTCTATTATGTCTACTGCATATAGATCTCTAACACGCACGTACACGCGCGCACACACACACACACACACACACACACACACACACACACACACACACACACACACACACACACACACACTGGGACATACTTGGCAAATCTGCAAGGGTGCCAAGGCTGCAGCCACAAGGATACACTCACTGTAGTCAACAGGACCACCTCAGATACTCTGGCTTCTCCACAAGAAGTTATTGAATATGACCATATATGTGGGAATTGGAATCATGTGATGGCCACTCAGGGGCACCGCTTCTGGGTTGAAGATGGCTATCAATATTATGAAATGAGCTGCATGCTGTGTGGGGCGGCAGAGGACACGCTATCCTGCTACCCCCCAACGATCCCCGCATGGAAGCCTCCCTATTCTAGAAGTATGTCACGTAATCCAAATCGTGTCAAGATTGTCCGCCTGCAAAAATGTTACAAGTTGTCTTGAAGCTCTTGCTATAGCCAGAATGAAGTGAGGTATGTGCAGTGTAGCCGATGGAATGAGGATATCCAGTTATGTCAAAACATTCTGGTGCTATTACTGTTCAGTGTGTGAGCTGTGTGATGGTGCTTTCTCGTGTGAAAGGTGAGGAAGGCCACTTAAATTTTTTTTTTTTAATTTGGCCCCGAGGGGCGAGTTTATTGGGCAGCGCCACTCATCTTGTGAGTGGACACACCGCCATAGCAGCATGTACAACACTCCCCAATAGGAAGAAAACCCGCTGGGTTGTTCATACTGTGATGTGTCTTGGTCAAAAGAAAGAGAATTAGGCTGTTTTAAATCTATTTCCTGGAAATAAATACTATTAACTTATGCTTGGCCAAAACCTTTGATGTGCATGCTTAGAGCCCAATAAACTCAGGAATCTGTACACCAGTTGATTGACAGTTGAGAGGCGGGACCAAAGAGCCAGAGCTCAACCCCCACAAGCACAACTAGACGAGTACGCACGCGCACACATCCCCCGGAAGCAGCCCGAAACAGCTGTCTAACTCTCAGGTACCTATTTATTGCTAGGTGAACAGGTGCATCAGGGTGATAAAAACTCTGCCCATTTGTTTCTATCTCTGCCGGGGATCGAACGCGGGCCTTTAGGACTACGACTCCAGAGCGCTGTCCACT